ACTGCCAGCAAAGTCAGAGTCTCTGTTTTCCACATCCCTTTGGTGATGCTCCCAGACCGCAGTGCACCCCACCCTGTAGCTGCCTGGCTTCACTGTCCCTTCTTCCTCCTTCCTTCCTCTGACAGAGGTCACAAATGGGTAGCCTACAGGCCAAAGCCAAATGTTCAGACTGCATACTAGTTTGGCTTGTTTGGTTTTTAATTTGCATGTAGCATTTTTAATTGGTAAGAATTCATGAATCACTGGTAAATGCAGTAACCACATTGTTTTTTCATGTGAAACCTTCATAAGAGTGTATATCAATCATACCTTAATAAAAAAATTTTAAAAAAAAGAGTTCATGAATCAGATTTCCACTTTCTCCTTTAAATTTTAAAACTGGCCACACTAGGTCCATTTCCCCACTTGGCAAGCAGTCAGGTGGATTGTAGGCTGTCTCCTCTGAGCTGGGGTAGGTGCAGTCCCTCCAGCCTCTTGCTCCCTGACATCACTTGCTTGGATTCTAAGCAGTTGAGTCGGTGACCCCCATATCATACTCTGAAATCCAGTGTAGGCATTTCCCACCCACCCACCCCCAACCCTCGGGACAAGATGGGGAGAGAGGGGCCTCAGGGTTCCTTCTGGCTAGAGACTGGCTCATAAGGATTCTCGTTACAGCCCAGGCTCCAGCATTATGCTCCCAGGGACACAAACGAAGCAAAGGTGAGGCTGAACCCAGGCGACCAGCCTCAGCCCCTGGCCTTCCAGGACTCAGTTGCCCAGCCTCCAACCCACACCTCACCATCCCTTCTGGAAACAGAGGCATCTCCATCCCTACAAGCCCTCCTAGGAATACTTCACCTCCTTCCTCCTTTCTTCCCTCCCTCAGAGCCCTAGCTTCTCATTCAGCCCCAGTAACATCCAAAATTAAGAGCCACCTATGCAGTAATGGAGGGCAGGTAAAGAAATTGGAGAGGGAGAGGTGAGGTAATAGGTGCCAGAAAAGAGCGCGGGCGAAGTGCTCACCTCAGAACTCCCCAGGGTGGCCCCCTGAGCAGAGTGGAGCGCCAGGAGGGAGAGCAGGGCCACAGCAGGAAGGACTGGCATCTTCATGGTGTCACGTTTGGGGCTCTCTGAGGCGGGGCCCCACCACCCGCCCTTTATATTCCCAAGGAGGTGGATGTGAGCAGAAGTGGGGTCCCCACCCCACTGACTCACCGCCAGCTCCTGTCACCCATCCCCAGGACTCTGGGAGGGGGAGGTGTGGATTGCTCCCCACTTACCTTAGATTTCTCAACTCACATTCAGCCTCAGGCACTGGGAAGGCGAGGCA